ATCTTGTAGCGCGACAACCGGCAGAAAACCACGCAAAAGTTTCGAGTTCTAGCAAATATGTTGCATAAGCAGTGTTGTGGGCCTCCAGGTCACAGGCCAAGTTTCTTCCTCCCATTCATCCTGGTAGTAGATCTCGTCCTCTTCTCAGTAGGTTTCTTCCGCGGGTGCAGGTTCATAGGAAGCATAGCCACGGCCTTTTCCGGAACCGGCACGGCTGGAGTGTCGTTGATCACGGTCCCAGAGACCTTGAGAGAACGTGGTCCTGTGCGGCCGCTGCGTTCTCGTGTTGACGTGTTTTTCCCCAAACAGTTTACTGTTAGGGGTTCTCAATGCTTTAAAGAATGGTCGCCTTGGTGCTGGATGGTCTGGTCGGGTTCCCGGCCAGCTTGTCTCCCACTTCCTTGACTTGTCTCCCACTTCCTTTCATTTGTCTCCCACTTCTTTTCATTCGTCTCCCAGTTCTTTTCATTCCCCAAACAGGTTTACCTGTGAGGGGTTCTTACTCCTTTTAAAGGGGTGCATGCTCGGGCCGGATGATTTTGAGTTTGTCTCCGGGCTTGTGTTCCTGGCCGCATGATTTCACCCTTGTCTCCCACTTGTCTCCCACTTGTCTCCCAGTAAGCTCTGGATCCTCTCAGTGCTCTGGCCGCATGATTTTATACTTGTCTCCCATTTGTCTCCACTTGTCTCCCAGTTGTCTCCCAGGTACTTGTCTCCCAGATACTTGTCTCCCATTTGTTTCCCACTTGTCTCCCAGTTGTCTCCCAGTAAGCTCTCAATTGCTCTGGCCGCATGATTTCAGGCTTGTCTCCCATTTGTCTCCCACTTGTCTCCCACTTGTCTCCCCGTAATCCCACTTGTCTCCCACTTGTCTCCCAGTAAGCTCTGGATGCTCTGAGTGCTCTGGCCGCATGATTTCACACTTGTCTCCCACATGTCTCGACTTGGCTCCCAGTAAGCTCACTTGTCTTCCACTTGTTTCCCATGGCCTGTCTGGATGCTTTGTATCCCCGGACTTGGCTGGATGCTGGGCCGATTAATTTTTTGATGCGCACAAGGTCGTTGCTCTGTTGTATTTCTGGTGTTTCGAGTTTGAAAGCTGCATTGGCTGCAATGGGCCGTCGATGAGTTTGCCGGCTCGGATCATGAATGACGCATGGTTTAGTGTTGCAGTTTGCCAGAGGGACAGCTCGCCATCTTGCGACATGTTATCAGACCAGCTTTGTTACTGATTGCTTTTCGCGAGTGTTGCAACACGCGGAACATGGCTAAGCCAAAGAAGGCAACTGCGTAGGAAGGAAAAAGCCAAGCGCAGTGTCCGTGCTCTGAGGAAATCTTCATTTTGATTGGGTCTGCGCATTCGTGTTTACAACGGGGGCAACATATGTCACAACCTGGATCCATAAATTTCATGTTTTAGCCCTTGTACGGCGTCCCATTGTAAAGTCAATGAAAAACAGAATTTTAATGCTTTCCCTTTGAATCTTGTATGTGCGTCTACACGGTGGACTATAGTTTTCTTCCTCTAGGAAATACTGCTGGCCATATTGTTCGGAGATCTCATTTTTGAACATTGCTCTGTTTGGGGTCTACGCTGGTATAATTTGTTTTGCTGGGGTAGGTTCTTTTCGTTCACTGGCAATCGTTCCAAGAAAGGGTGGCCAAGAGGGTCGTTTTGCCATGTGGAGGGTTTTGGCCGAGTCACAATCGACCGGTGCCACAAGTGCGTAAGGCAGAGACGACGGTGTGCGCGAGAGACACAAAAGATGATGGCGGATTGAGGAGATTGTATCCGCCTCTGCAGGGCCACTTTATCACATTGCAGGAGGCTAGGACGCCTTGCAGTTGGATGTGAGTAGAGGTTACCTATCACAGTATATACCTTGGAGTGACCGTCCGATCTACAACAGAGGATATGAGTCTGTTTATGAGAAGATGAGGCCCAAAACTGAGGAGAACTCAGTTTTTGGCACACATTTAAAAAAGGGGTAGACACCGATTTTTGAAAATCATAGACACTGTGTGGATGAACAGGTGATGGTCTCTAGATTCCTTTATCGACGGGCCCGAAGAAAGTAACAGCTACCACCAGGGTTGATTGGGAAGCGCGTTTGAGAACACATGCCCGATTTGATGGGAGGAGCCAGTAGCCACCCAAGAAAGTTTGTCAAAGTTTTTGGGCAAGCACATCCACATATCAGCCTTGATGTCGCAGATACATGCTACAACTTATGGGCGCGAACGCAAAAACAACAACGAACAAAACCACAGCCCCGAAAAGTATACAAGGAGAAGACAACTTTTACAATAGCCATTGCAATCTCACGCAACTTCCCACCATCATAACAACGCGCAATGACAAATTTGCCTTCACCTGCGGCTACTTAAAAAAACCGCGGACGCAAGAAAAGCCGGAACCAAAGCCACGAAAAGCACAAGGAGAAGACAGCTGTAACAGTCGCAGCCCTGGCAGGCCCATGGAACTTCCCACCGCCGCACCGCATAAGGACAACCTCCCCCATCATCCGCTGAGCGTCACCAGAAAAGCTAGAACCACAGCAAGGACAAATATACAAGCAGAAAAACCCCATAACACTTGCAGCCACTGCAGCCCCTCACCACCATACTGTGGCCTCATCCGCGGGCCTGTGGGTGGAGCCCGTGAGGCCCATCGGGCCCGTCGCGGTTGAGCCCGTGGACAGCCCGGCGGGTGCGTGGACGGGTGAGCCCGTGGGCCCGAGGGCGAGCCTGTGGCGCCCGTTAGCCCGTGCACGGGCCACTCGGTGCACCCTGGCAGCAGTTCAATGCCCCGCAGAGTGAAGAGATCCATGATAAGATCATGCCGAACCACAAGGAAAGGTCTGTATTCTGGATTGCGCAACTTGTTGAACGTCGTGTTGAACATGGCAGTAAAGTAAAGTTCTTTTGGGGAACCCCCGGCCATCAATGCTTTGGCGCTGCACTGACATGATCGACAAGCAGCTGAAGAATCAGCTGACTGGAGACCCGCTGCAGAGATTGTGGCGCGCAGAGGGGCAGTTGGTCAAGACCCACCAGGAGAGCACTTCAGCCGCCATGCGTGCAATGGAATTGTGGTGGCCAGCTCATGAATGAACGCTTTCTTTTCACGGACCCGGCTCCGGCATCGAACCCAGAGCGAACCACCCTCCGAGACTTGCTGACCTGCTCCGATCTTTCGGGGGGGCTGCGCTGCTGGAGAGGAACAAGCGCCAAAAAATAACAGACAACTGGGCATGAACTTGTTGATCGAATAGGCATAATAGACGCACGACGTTTGCAAGTTTATTTGCGGGTGTTCGTTTGTTAAGCACTGTTGTTTTCACGTCCGAACTTTTCAAGATTCAATGTGCCATGCAATGCGTCACGGTAGCACATGTGCCCACACATGCGCAAGCGTGACAACAACACCGCGGACCGCTGCAAAGAAAAACCACCAAACCCCTTTCCGGCTTTGGAACCTGCCAGCAAGTAGCACGACAGCGTGACCCGATTTCCGCATCTCAGCGTGACAACGTGCTAACGTTTTGGCGTGCCCCAGGCCACCATGACAAAGACCACGCCGGCGTATCAGCGCAACCATATTCATGTCTGCATGTCTGACAGCCTTCTTTATACGCACACACCGCGTGTCAGAAGCATCCCAGGTGAATGAGGCAGCAGAAACCGCGTGGTAGCCTGACCACATGTCAACATGTCAGCAGGCCAGCATCATGTCGTCTCAGTGCTGTGGTGTGACAACAATATCACCGTGGTATCCGGATATACCTCCAAAGCGCTTTGGAGCTTGTGGGGGGCCCTTTCGGTCTCCGGAACCTGCTCCGGAATTTGCTGCGAGCTGGCTGCGCGCACTTTGAAAGCCGAATGTCCGTGTTGGGTGCTGTTTGGTTTGCCAAGGTAGAGTGGGTGTGTGCTGCCACGAGAAAGTGTGGTGCCAGCGCTGGTGTCAGCTGGCTGCGGGCGCTTTGGGGGCAGGGTGTTGGTGCTGGCGCTGGTGCCCGAAGCTGGCTGCGCGCGCATTTTTAAGATGGGCCGTGCTTACAAAATGTTTTTGGCTATCTGGGGCGGTCTCGTTTTTTTAAATTATGCTGGCATAATGGCGGAATTGTTCCCGACACCATTTCCATGGGCTCGATGAAAACGAGTTATACATACCAGCCCTCCACGTTCTACAAAAACATTTAGAGAAACAATGCGGTCGCAATCACGATTCCCTCTGGGAGTTTCCGTCGCCATTGGCAAAGTAGCTCACAAGAGAGGCTTGTTGAAAGGTTGGTGAGGATTTTTACAAAATGTTCCCTGAAGCACCTGCATACGCCACTGTGAATTCGCCACCTCGTTCCAATGGCGGAGTGTTTGGTTGCTGGAGGTTGCTGCTGTTTTTGTCCAAGTGTTGGCAACTAGGACCAGACAAATTTCCCTTGCATGTCGACTCTGCAAAGGAGTTGGACTAAATGTGAGGGGCCCGCACCATTCGAAACTGCTCTGCGAAACCCACCGCTCAGGTTTGGCAACTGTCCACAGTTTGTCTAACCGCAATTGGTGAATTTGACTTCAGCCAGCTGGGGTAAGATCATCAGATGGAAACATTGGCATGGGTTGTTCTTGCAGTCATTGAGTTTTGAGTTTCAAGGCTTTGATGAGTTTCGTTTGGCACACGTAGCCTGGTGCCCGCGCGCGCACTTGCCTACAAGTACAAACACAAGAAAGACAAAAAGAGAGAACGAAAACCATTGAATGCTACTAGGGGCTCCTGGCCATACTACTAGGAGCAAGAAGCTACTAG